TACATGAAAGTATTTTACAATTGAGACTTTTAAGTGCAGTGGTCATATACAGTAAAACCTGTGTAATCAGACCACCATTGGTTCCAAAGAAACTGGCCGAAATAGACAACATTCTGAGTAATTGAATGATTGAAAAGGACTTGAAATTTACATCATGTTTGACAAAATTTCGGAATACACAACATTGGATTAGACAAGTTTCACTGTATATCTTCAGAGAGACAAAGATAGTCCTCTTCTATCAAATGGGAAAATGTTTTTAATGTACTTTTTATGTGTAGTCTTGTTTTTGGATTTAAGTGCCAGTAATATGTATTTCCTGGACTAATTCTTGGTCTTTAATATTTTGATATTTCCTACATCATTTGGAATGTCTGTTGACAAAATGTTGAGAGTGAGCTAGCAACACTGTGAGGCATAAAACCGTTATCTCGTCTTATAAGAGAAGTTTCCTTTTTGAAGAGGTTTAATACAAGGAGATAGGTATCAGTCTGAAAAGGAATATTTGTACATCACTGGAGTCAGTCACAATCTGTTTGCTGACATTTCTTTAGAAGTGCTGCCTTCTGTTTTTATTACTGTATGTTATCTTTGTCCCTTTGATATAAGACTTGATCTCTCTATTGAATCAAATTCAATTTATACAAAGTGACAATTTTTCATTTCACTTTATTCTTTATACTGTAACTGATATAAAACATGTGGACAATGAATATTTGTTCAGTCTTGTAAGAGATGACAACACCCCCAAATACATTTTATATATCTATATTTACTATTAAAGGATTGGTTCATGCAATTTGTTTTTGCATTTTATGTATCGACACATACCTTTTGTGAAATGGATATTTATTTGCTTGTTCATAAAAATAGACTCCGGCTTCATTTGTATAGATTTTTTAAAATTCAGTGTATCATAAAAGCCCAAGTTTGAATTTCAGTTTTACATAAAAGGTCTAACTGATTTTTCATTCAAATATAAGCACATGCTTGTTGTGTATAAAAAGCATTGTGAATAATGATTGGTAAGAGTGTCAAGATCAGCATTATCCGTTAATCATTTTGAATGTGATTTTAATTTCTGATGATTTGATCAGTTAACTTTTTTTTGTTCGTACAGTGTAACCTATCTAATCAGGATATTGTATATTCTGAAATCTTTTTTAGTCCCTCTCATTAAATTCCATCATTTAAACTGTTTTTTATTTTGAATTGCAATGTTCTCTTATCAGACTAATTTCTAAGAACCAGTGGGGCTGTATTAGTTTGAAATAAGTTTTTTTGTTGCTTAAAAAATCCTAAGTAGTTTTGTTACCTGGTGTATATCTAAAAAAAAAAAGAAAGGAAACACGGTAGTGTTTGATTGGTTTACAGTAAATAACAGTTTATTTTGTTCTTCTTTTTTGAAGTTCCTCCTCAGATATTAATGCTGATTTTTTTATTCCATAAATAACAATGTGTGCAGCCTATGAAAACATTTGTTGTACTGAATACATGCTAGGAAGACATGATAACGGTGTGTCAGGAATAATTAATAAACCGGTACATTGTAGAAGGATATCCCAGATGTTTTATGAGCATATTGTATGCTTATACAGTTAAGGCCGAGATTTTATAAAGGAGTGATTTATATTTGTCGTGAGATCCCCTCTTTATCTATGGGATCATCCCGGGAAATGTGCGTTATCCTGTGGTTTGTCGTATTGGAAATCAATGTGAATCGCTCCGGGGGTACAAGATAACCACTGACACCTTTGTTGCAACAGGTTTTTGGTGGACAAAAATAAAAAGCTTTGAAAGACAATAGGAAATGTCATGGACAAATCTTTCTTCATTCTTGTTTTGTCACATCTTTTCAGCACTTTCATTCCGCGAATTCAATATATTTTTTAAAAAAAATTTTTGAAGGGTAGTTCCATTACATATAACAATGTGACATATTAGCAGGACATTAAAAACTTCTTTTCAATTTGATGAGAGAAATTTTCTCTACTATAGTTACCTATTGTGTTGAAGTTTGGGAGATCACATTCATTCTAAGGACTGATGCATCATGTTTGGTTAATGTCCCTTTTGAAAATTTTTCATTCATATTTATATGTAACCACTTGCTGTTAGAGGATTACAAATTATGACATATACTTTGCACTTGGAGCCATTGAGAAATGGAGGAGTTTTTTCATGATAGGACCCACTAGGATATAGCACCTCGGTTTATATGCTCTCATCTGAAGAACCTAGTGTATCCTTACTCTCTTTGATTCTAGAGCAAGTTATCCAACTTGTGTTGGGATTATTTAATCTTTGACTTATATTAATTGACTTATTTCTGTGTACTCCATTGTGGCATCGGACCACCGTGTAACCTTTAAGTATCTTTAATTCAACAAAAAAATGATATACTGGTAACTTTAAATTCTTTTAAGAGTCAAGATATTTGACATTTCATGGCTTCACTTTCATCAGACAAATAGGCAGTTATTATATGTTAAAAATCACCTTTTGTAGTCAAAGAACTACAGAAATTGCTGAAGGATACTTTTAATTCAGTATCTGTAATTTTGTACTGTTTGAATAATTTTTGTAAATTCATTTTGGTGAACTCTATATTTTGGCTTTTGTTACATGACTTAGTAACCTTGAATGTAAGACAATCTTCCTTAAAGGTATATCCTAACGAAGATCATTAAATGACAATAATTTAATTGCTTATAAGTTTCACAATTAAAAGTAATTAAAGGAATCCTTAATTAAGACATATTGCATACTTTTCAATTTATAATATACAGTATGTTATTTCAAAAGTCTTTTTTTGATGTGAGGGTAATTAACTACAAACATTTAACATGATTTAATACAGTTAAGTGTATACATATACTGTAGATCACTTACATTTTCAACATTAAAAAGTTGCAATAATTTAAACATTGAAGGTTTTTTCCAATAATAAGACCGGTGAATTTTATTTTAGCGAGATAGTGCAAATTGGTGTTGACTCAATTTAGAAATACATTTTTGATATTTTATTAGCGTAAATAAAATTGTAAATTATGATTTGCAAAATTTTGCGAATTGTGGTCACTACTCCACACTATATATTCAAACATACCCAAAGCATAAAATGAATTTCAGTTTTTTGCATTATGCATACACACGCATGTAAAACACTGTAACAATGTTGGATGAAATTTTTTTTCGAATTTTCTTCCAAAACTTAATTATATTATACATTCTGTGGTAAAGCAAAGGATAAATTCAGAATATACAGCCATTATATGTTGTCCTTTTAACACCTAAAATATGTTTGCAAAAATCAAGATGATTTACAGTATAGGTTTTTGTATATTATTCATTTGATATATGTAAGCCTTTGATCATTACACAGAAACATATTATCCCAAGCAGTCTGTTAAGATGTTTTTTTACTAAATTTTTTTAGTAGTTCCAAAGCCTTGAAAAAGAACTGTTAAATTTTAAACATCATTTTAAAACATGTTTTAAATCCCGTTTTTTAAAAAAGATATTTTTAAATATCTGATCCAAGCAATTAGTAAATTGAGTGTTACAGGTTAGAATATCAACTCAAATAATAAACCTTAAACTTTTAAATTCAAATGACTATTTTTAAATTTTTGGCAATGTTGCAAAGATTTGCCAAGATATTTATATTTTGCAACCTTTGTTGGGAATAGGATTAATTATTTAAATGTTTTGAATTTGAAGAAATGTATGTCAACTGGCTATTATCAATAATTAATCCATTCACTAGTTTCTGATGCGTCAGGAATAAACGGCGATCAACCAAAATTTCTCTTTGAAATCAATATGCCTGTCATTAAAATTTTAAAAATTTTGGTTTTCAATTAATTATCCCATTTACCAATTGATTGACTTTGTGCAATTTTTCCATTACAGGGATGAATTTTCTCTAATAGATTGAAGCATTGCAATTAGTACTGTTCATAGAGGTTCATATGTCTTAACTACTTTCTGTCAAGATATCTACTAATTTAGCAATTTCATTGCATTCAAAATGGTAAATGTAGTTGGTTTTAATGTCAGAATCAATGGATTGCTGCTGCGTAATTAAAACAAAAATACAGAAATAGATTAATCTATATGCACACATTCATGCTTTTGAATTGATAATGAAGGCTCTTGATTCGATAACTAAATGATATCTAACATGTTTAATGCAATTCTTAGTCACCCGCATGGGGCAGCGGTTAGAGAGTCTGTCCTAGAGTCCCAAAGTAAGGAGTAAATCCTTACGTTGCAGGTTCGAATCTCACTGTGGGACATAGAGGCCAGTCCTTCGGATGAGACCATATAAACTAAGGTCCCGTGTCACAGTAGGGTCTGGCACAAAAAGATCCCTCCCTGCTCAATGGCCCTGAGTGCTGAGTACATACAGGACAAAATTTGCAGCTCTCCACCAGCAAGTGGTGGCGTCTCCATACAAGTGAAAAATTCTCAAGAGAGACGTTAAAACAATTAAAATCAATCAATCAGTAATGCAGTTCTTCTTTTTCTTTGTATTCATCTAAAGAAACAATGTCAACTGAAATGTAAAGTTGAGTGGAACACAAAGTATTTTACCCTCGATATCTCGAATCATTTCGAAGATTTTCCTTGGTCCCATTGAGTTGGAAATAACAACATTTGACTGTAGTTGAAATATTCTTGTATGCAATTTTATACCTCAAAGTTTTTGCTCCTGTTTTGACCCCTTTGCCTCAGTCACAAGTGGGTAAAATTAAAACAATAAAATCAAAGTTTTTCTTTTTCTCAAACAGTGCTTTGACAGGGTGAATTTAAAATGGGACAAAAATTGTTTGCCAATGTGAAAAGGCAAAAAAAAGCAAATGGCAAAATTGACGGTCTTTACAGCAATAATGAGGAGTATATATTATTAGTATCCTTCAAGAAACATAAAATCTTTATATTAAGTATTTCCACAATATTGATGCTTAATTGTGTGTGTGGTTTTTTTTTTGCAGGATTCTAAAGAAAATGGGTGGATTACAGAATAGATAAATGTTGGCTGAATATTCATAAGATAAAGAAGCTGCAGCAGGGTTATTGGTCATCACTTTTTTCTGTTTGAGGTGTGGGGAGATTGGACTCCCCAATGTTAAGTGCCGTCCAAATGACCGATACAATGTCTAGGCGCCCCTACCCCAACATAAATGTATCCGCCTCCCAAACTCACAAAGATGTCACGGACGAACGATACCGAGATCTACGAAGGCCGAGGAAGGTAAGATTTTTCGTCAATGGCGACAGGTACTTTAAGGGGAAGAAACTGTACATTACCCCTCATCGGTACTTCAATTTCAACGACCTGTTGAATGACTTGACGGGGAAGTTGCCATCGAATTTAAACCTTCCTTATGGGGTGCGTCAAATTTTTACACCAGTGAGTGGAAGAAGGGTTACGGAAATCGAAGACTTGGCAGATGGAGAAAACTACGTCTGCGCTGGATTTGAGGGATTTAAGATCATCAAGTATGGCAAGGCTGAGCTGGAACCATGGTCTGTGGGTAGGTAGAACTCTTCTTGATTGAAGGCTTATTTGGTGTAATCTATCAAGTGGTAGAATTAGATCTTTATTGACAACTGAGCTGACATTAATTATTTAACTGCCACTCATTTCTCATGACTTGCCCTTGTTTTTGACTTGTTTTTGGCTTTGGTATTGTGAATGGATTTCTTTTTGTTTGCTTGGTCTTTGGGTAACTCAGAAAAATGTTTACAGTAGGTAATGCAAACCCACGTGTTGTCTTAAGATATTGCTTAGTTTTATAAAGGCAATGTCCTAGTCAGTATGTCAATATATTAAAGCCAATGATAAAATATTTAAATCATCGAAAAGTAATTTATTCTGATTGCAAATAGGAAATATAACTCTTAAATGTTTATCCAAAAATTGAATTAATTAAATCATTTTATGCTTTGATATGAATAGGCTAGGGCATATAGTTGTTTTTGTGTCTGTCTGTCTGTTCATCACACTTTGCATTCAGATCAGATTGAAAGTAACTAATCAAACAATTCAAGATATTTTTATTAAACATTATATTTTTAACAGCTGATCAATTCAACCAATTTTTTTTAAAACCTTGATGTTCCCTATGCTCTTATAAACCTCACTTTCCATAAATTTGTGTTTAGCTCAGTTTCAAAGAAAAAATTCTAGGTATGTGTTAGTCTTCATATGAGTAGATGATACATTTTTTTGTGAGAGCTTTTAAACTGCGCTATTTTTTACCCAAGCCTTTCCTATGATCATACTATGCATATACTTACTGCTAAGTATCAAAGAAACAAAGATTTTTTTATCTAAACACATGCACAGATTTATACATGTATCGGTTAAAACATTCAACTGACAGTCCATTTTTTTACCCATGACCTTTCACATTACTATTTATTGTATTTAAAACTCAGTTTTAAGTTATTCAATATATTTTTAATCAAACCATACAGTTTTACAAATTGGTTAGAGCTATTCAATTGTGTCATAATTTTTTACCTTAACCTTCCCTGTGACTTTGGCTTTACTCTTTTTCATATACCCCCCGATCTTTTCATTTTGGAAGACTTTTGAACTCTGGACAGGCATCCTTGTCCAGTGGACATATTTCTAGTACATCGCAGATAGCAATAACATATAATTCATGCATATATCAACTATAAAACATGAAAGAAGGTTTTCATTTTGGGAAATAAAAAGAATATTCTAAATATAGAACAGATGTGTACAATTATTCTCTTAAGGAGGCTTTACTAAGAGGATTTGTCTGTCCTGAGCCCTCAGTAAGCTCCCCTGATCCATATTTTCCATTTGTTTTCATCAGAAACGATAATTGGCATCTATTTTTAACTTTGACATAAATCTTTCTATACAAAAGAGGATTTATATCTGATCCAGAAAGAGAGACCTTGTACCCCTTTCTTTGCCTCCTTGGAAATTGAAGAAAGAGGAAAAGAACTAGTTATATTATAAAACTGTAATTTATCATTTGTGTTTGGAGATAATTTGTGTCTTTCAAGTTTTAATAAAATATCTTTTGAGATGAAAAAGTAGAAATTAAAAAGTATTTGAATATATTTACAAAGGAGAAGATTCACGTTTTCCCCATATAATGTTAGTTTCACTATAAAGGTACATTAAAATAGTCCAGACTGATGTGTAAATATTAATACAATGTTTTTGTTTGAAATTATCTTGGTGGCCCATGGGCCAGTATTTGTGATTTGTTTTAATGACAAAGTTTCCTTCTCCAACAGAACAAAGCAGAAGAATTCAAAATGGTAATGGACAATATGTGTCTAACATTCACTACGTTTGCCTAATCAATGCTATGACATAACCTGAAGTTATTCAAATTGAATGTTTCACTCACACAAAATGCTATCATTGAATCCTGCAATGGAAATTGTAAAACTACAGCAATCAAATGCACTGAACTGCAAATGGACTGAACATGGGTAGAAAATTTACAAACAAATCACTTAGTCAATTTAAGATTTTCTTTGAGTAAATTCTATTTTTAAATATTTATTTGCAGCTGACATACAGAATTGCTAATTCCATCCTTTTTTAGGTATATTCTAGGTGCAATAGTCAGCCAGATTTTGATTTACAACAAGAATCGAAAAGGCTGCCGTATGTGGCTTAAATAATTCAATTGATTTTCACAAATTGGCATTTTTTAACAAGGAAGGATGAAAATTCTTTTGTCAGCCATGAAATTTGTGCAGTATGGCACCTGTCATAAAGTAAATTATTCTTTTATCCTCTTTTTGATTTTACTACTTTTTTTGGTAGGGAGGGGGGATGATAATATGTTCATATGTGCGATTTGAAAATGTATTTAATTTGTCAGATTTTAAAATTGATTACCATTTGCAGTTCAGTAACATAGTAAATATGCCAAACTTGAAAAATGTTGCAAATGAATGAAACCAGTTTTAGAAGCACAGGATGCAAGGCACAGTTATTCAATCCTAGCTAATAAACTAAAGCAAAAACCTTAAAACTTGATCGTTTGAATCCTGAACATGTTAAAACCACCTTGCATGTTAAACATCACCTCCACTAAAAATTCCTCTGCATGCATGTTAATCTCACCCCCTACCTAAATAAGGTAAGTGTTAAAAAGGTATGTTTTAGCCCATTTTCCAGAGTTTAATAAATTGTCATCTTAGCTTATATAATCTCTGGGAGGGGAGGAATATGTATTGTTAACCTAATGCTTTAGTTTTATTATATAAAATTTAAAGAACAAATTATGTACATGTATTACAAGTTTCTGTCGAAACCTTACATATTTTCTACACTCATTTCATGGAAGTGGGGCATTTCATTGATTAATGTTGAGCCTTTGTAACAGGACCTGCCTATATGTCTGAACTAACTAAAATGTTTTTGTGTATTTAAGCTTCAGATAGTCATCATTTATAATTCAATAATTTTTTTTAAGCAATTCAAAGAGAGGAAAGTAGAGCATGATCAGTTTTTTTTTATGCTTGAATTTTGTTTTCCTCATATTAAAAGTAGTTATAATTTGAAAATAGTTGCATTGATTCAGAATTAAAATTTTAATCGTATAATTTCCTTGTTAAAAGAATTTTATTTATAAATTTTTCAGAGGTTCTAAACGACCGTAGATCATCAAAATATGGTACATAAGTGTGCTTATCTCCTGATCTTAGCTTCTGGGTTGTAAGGGCGGCTCAGATTAACTCCCCTTGAAAGTTGTATATAACTTCGTGTGCGCTTTTACAGATACTGCATATTAAGATTTCTATAAAAATATTTGACAAAGAATTTTACCCCTTAATTTGCCCAAAATTCTCTATCACAGAAATAATGGAGCTTCAAAGCAGCGGATCTCCTAAAAGTTAAATCATTTTGTTTTCACTAAAATACATAAACGGTTTGAAAATAATTTTAAACTCCTCTTTAGCTTTACTGATCAGGTGCTATTCAAACCAGTAGAGAACTACAGTCTCAATCATCAGAGACTTCTGGTTTCTTGGTTAGTCCTGAAGTCAGCATGAATGATATTGCTAAATAAATCAAAAAAAGAAGAAGAAATTTAATATGTAGTTCTGTGAACTATGGTGACAGTAAATAAGTGTTGTAATTGTCAAGCTAGGACTTATTACTAATTACATGTGTCCTCCCGCATTTTGCCCAAACCAATATGTTTTATAGCCTTATTTTATGTTTGATCTTCATGCGTAATGCATTTATTGTGTTCAGTTAGCCTTAATGTTTATACCATCTTTATGTTTATCATAATTGTAAATATATATTAAGCATTAACCACAGTGAAGACATTTGCTTCGGTGTTGTACCATATTGTTTGTTCCATTTGTGTATGATATTTACTGCTTTTTCCAGTCCTGTACAAAAGCATATAATTCGATCCAACCCATAATTATGAAAGAGATATGATCGAGTATTGAACCTGGAGGGAAAGGGGATATGCATTGTTGAATCTTCATAATACTTAAAGAAAAAATGCTTCTTCTTTTAATTAATATTTAATTTGGGGGTTGGACTGAGTATTACTAATGCAAAATGCATGATTTTTGCAGATCTGCCAATATTCATAAGCACAAAGTTTACATGTCCGTAGTATACTACCAAATTATAAACTGAGCTGTCTTATTGAATTGTAGATTTGATATGAAAGTTATATGAGTAAAACTTTGAAGAGAATTGCTTGAACACTGTATGGACATTTCTATGATTTCTGTGGGCAACTCTTTTAAATGTTTGGTAAAGGGGGAAAATGTTTTTTGAAGTCTTTAAAGGAACTTAGTTAACGCTTTGTATATTTAGTTATATCTTGTAAATAATCGGTAAACTAGAAGATAGCAGATGTGATGCTTTGCTTGACAGGACAAAGGTTTTTGAGCCACTTTTCTTGATTTCAATTCATCAGAAATGTTCAAAAATGTAAAAGAGTAATTGATTTCATGATTTAACATGCAATATGATTAGTTGGATATCTTCAGCAATATGCTAAGATTGAATCACACACAATATATGCTTCTCTAAGATTTCGTATGATTGAACTTAAGCACTAGTGCAGTGTACATATAACATTGACCAATGCTATATTTTTATTCCTTTAGGCCTGAGAAAAAGTAAGTTAATTATAGATATATATCCTAACAAAACAAAAATAGCTGAGCTATAATATCTTCTGCTTAAAACTAACTTGTATATCACAGACACAGCAATACTTTGTGCTAAAATTATGAAATTAGTGTAAAACAGCAAGAAATTTCGTTTAAAATTTGAAGCTGACTTCAAGCAAAGCATCCATATTTGCTTTATAAAGTAGGCTTTTGAGAAGGGAAGTGGAAGGTTTTCTGGAAAAAGGAGTAGTGCTGTGTCCTTTTTAGTTAGCCAGTTTTTGGTTGCTATGGTGATAGAAAATATAAGCCATAATATTTGCTGCTGCTAAAATTCTTGGTTACTGTACATATATATCTATGATACTGTAGATTACTAAATTTTCGCAACACCTTATTTTCGCGAGATTAATTAGCGAGACAAAATTGTCGCAAATTGTCGTTATTGCTCTATATATTCTTAAGGAATACTATTATACGCGAGAATTAAATTTTCGCAAGTACACTGTCTCGCGTAATTACGCGAAAATAAAGTTCTCGCAAATAAAAAGTGATTTACAGTATTCAAATGGAAAAAATGAGGACTTTTTATTATCTATACAAAACTTTGTAGAATAGTCATCTTTATGTGCTATTGTGAACAATCAAATATCTATAGATACTGTAATGTAAGAATAATATTTATGAGAATATATTTATATCTTCTAGCATTTTGCCAGTTAAATATTACATTGTTATGTTTGTAGTGGCAACCAACATTTACAAAAGAATTTTTTTTGGAAAGCATGCAGTATTGAGTAATTTGCTACTAAACTCATCATATAATGATGAAAAATAAAAATTTTGCCAAATATACCTGTAAACGTTTACTGCTAAATCATGCAAATCAGTTTCTTGGTGGATTACTGGTACTCTAAGATGCTTATTTTGATTCAAAGTCATCCTGTCAGAAGTCAATCCTATCATTTTTTGTGGTCCATCACATCCTGCATGAAGGGTATCTCAAAGTAAGATGAATGGATTTAAGTCCACAAAATTGCCCTAATCCCACTTTATGTCCTTATTCCCGTGGGAATGAACCTTCCTGATCCTGGATACCTTCGTTCATTGATTTTATATTTTATTGGGTACACCAGTAAAAAAAATATTTACTACCTAGCTGCCCAATATTAAGGCTTTAGAGTTGCCAGGATACTGGAAACCTGTTAAGGAAATTTTTGAAGGTATACAGAGTCTGTGAATGAAGGAAAGAGACAAAATTTGGCAAAGGATAGGCTTTTAGAATATTTCTCTGCATTTTAAATTTTTAAAGACAGAATTTCTAGCTTGGAGTTTAGGGATACTTAATTTTCGTTTCACTCTAAGTTCAATGTGTGAATTTCTTTTCCATCTTATGATTGAAGAAAAACTTGGATGACTTATATAGTTGATGTCAAATCAATTTTGGAAGCACCTCCAAAAGTACCAATTAACTTGTTAGACCCAGATGATGAACTGTGATTTTTTTAGTGATCCACCACTAAATTTTTATTCTTGTTATTAATCCTTATAATGTTTGCCCCTCCTGAAATTCCTTCAAAACCTGACCCCAAGGACAACTTGCGATGTATGTACTCTCGACACCCCTCAGGGCGTATTGAACTTGTGAAGCAACAAAAAACACAGACTTCTAAAACTTGGCGAAATTGTGACGTAGAAGTGATAGATATTGGTCCCGACCCACCATTTCTCTATAGGAGGTATATCTGGGGCCGGAAACGTGAGTACTCGCTAGGCAGCGTTAGAGGATTTGATTGTTTGTTTTTTTTTAAATTGAGTTTTACCTTTGAAGTTTCATTGATATGTCCACATGTACTGTTGTAAGTAAAGAGAAATGAAAATATTTCCATATGAAACCATTTTATCAGGGATGAGAATTGATTTCTTCCAATGTAAAAATTAATGTCTCTTTTCAACATGGTAACTAGATTTATATAAGCCATTTGTAATCAATATTCATTGATATCAGTGATGCACTATTTATCATGAATTATTCATTTGTTAAATGCATCTTGAGTATACTAAGTGACCTTGGTTTTACCTGTAAACTGATTACCACCAATGGGCTACTTGGTCTTAAGGAATGAAATATAACTCGTGTTAATTTAAAGGGTACCAATCTAGAGTTATCTCTCTTGTATCAGAGTTTGGAAAAGAGAATTATTTATTTGAAAGTTAATTGCTATTGATAAGATTTAATATTTTTTAAAATAAGATTTTTACACCCTTTTTACCTGACTGGAGTACAAAGTGTCCAGTATCTGTCTGTTTGATATCGATTTCAATCTCCCATGCAGAGTTGTAGTTCATTACTCTGTCAGCCACCTCAATGCTATTTGGCTTGCATCATAATTTTTAGCTCACCTCAACGAAGTTGGGGGGGCTTATGTAATACCCTTGGCGTCGGCATCCCAGGTTAAGGTTAAGTTTTTTGGAACAGTTTTCCTTTTAAGTACTTCTATGTCCTATATTGATTAGACACGCATGAAAATTGTTCCTAGTGTGTTTCATTGTACTAGTCACAGTTTCAGATGCTGAAATTTCAGCAAAGGAATGACCAGGTTAATGTTTTTGGAGCAGGTTAACATTTTTGGTGCAGTTTTTGGTGTAGGTCTCATTCCCGAGTAACTATAAACCCTATGTTGACCAAACTTGCATGGATGGTACATCTAAGGATGCATACTACCAGACTTGCTTTGGATGCTGAATCTGACATGCATTTTCCAGTTGAGTGAACAGGTGAAAGTTTTTGGTGCAGGTTTCATTTCCAAGTTACTATGAGCCCTATAATGACTAAACTTGCATGGATGGTACATCTTAGGATGCATACTACCAGACTTGCTACGGATGCTGAATCTGACCTACATTTTCTGGATGAGTGAACAGGTTAAAGTTTTTGGTGCAGGATTCATTTCCAAGTTACTATGAGCCCTATAATGACTAAACTTGCATGGATGGTACATCTTAGGATGCATGCTACCAGACTTGCTTCGGATGCTGAATCTGACATACATTTTTTGGACGAGTGAACAGGTTAAATTTTTTGGTGCAGGATTCATTTCCAAGTAACTATGGACCCTATGTTGACCACCAAACTTGCATGGATAATACATCTAAGGATGCACACTACCAAGCTTGCTTCGGATGCTGAATCTGACCTAAATTTTCCGATTGAGTGAACAATCAACGATTTTTGTACAGGTTTCATTTCCAAGTTGCTATGAGTTCTTTAATGACCAAACTTGCATGGATGGTACATCTTAGGATGCATTCTACCAGGCTGTCTTCAGATGCTGAATCTGACATACATTTTCTGGATGAGTGAAAAGGTTAGCTTTTTATGCAGGTTTCTTTTCCAAGTAACTATGAGCCCTATATTGAGCAAACTTGCATGGATGATACATCTTAGGATGCGCACTAATGGACTTGTTTTGGAAGCTGAATTCGACATACATTTTCCAGATATGAACCAGGTAAAAGTTATGGGTGTAGG